AGCTTGGCAACTAAAGACCCCATCGAGAAATTGCAGTGAATTCGGCTGTCATGACGTACGACATCTATGAAGGCTTTCAGTAGCGGAGGGAAACAGTTGTGACGGCACTTGACTTTGAAGATACTTACAACCGAGTCGGCTATGAACGTTTGATCTACCGCCTTCTACCAGCAGCCTAGTGGAGAGAAAAATGGCTTTGGGGCGGGGTAAATGGACTTCAGATCCCGTAGCAATTGCTCCAGGATTCACCCAAGGATCCCCCCTCTCGCCTGTGTTTTTCAATGTGTACACTGCCTAGTAACGATGCATCAGAAGGAATTTGGACACATCCTGAGCTTTACGGATGACATAATGGCTTACGAGCATGGAGATGGCAGACTTCAGATGGCGAGGAGCATGGAGAAAAGACTTCACTCAGTAGTAAAATGGTGCAACCAAAATGAAGCAGTTATCAATCCTTCAAAAGAACAGGTACTTTGGAGTTCCCTCGACAACAGGATTGTCCAAGACATAACTCCACCAATCACTTGCAACTATGAGATTATCGACAGACAGACAGAGCTGAAGTATCTGAAAATCGTCTTTGACAGGTCGTTGTTCTTCTACAAGCATGTGGATCATGTAGTTACAAACGCCAAACGAGGTGTGGGTGCAATCAAGGCAATAGAAGCTGCTCTGATTCCACTAAGAGTGCTCTTCCAGATGTTGCAGCAGGTCGCCTTGTCTGTCATATATGGCGGATTGGGCTGTCTCACGCTGTCCGACACACAGATCGCAAAGCTGGATCGAGTGCCGAATGAGGCAATGAGAGCAGTGCTGAGTTGCATCAAGGACACTCCAAAATTGAGTATGCGCTTCATGCTAGGTTTAAGTGGCATCAGAGTACGCTATAGTATAGCTCATGCAAAGATGTACTTGTATCTCAATGTAATGGGCAAGACAGATCTTCCACTTCACAAAGCACTTCATGAAAGCAAGAGAGGCAGAATCAAAAGAGGAAAGGCTTGGCTAGCGGAAACAGAGGATTCCCTGAAAAAAATCGATGTACCTGAGAGTCTGAAACTTTGGGAAGAATGGGAACAGGTGGCGCGAGAATACAGGGACTTCACCAAAGTCACAATAAGCATGGGCAGAGACAGAAGAATGTTGCGGCTTCTATCAACGAGAGCGATATCAATAAGATTGTTGACAAGAACTCACAAGCAGGGGAACCTGTAATTTATGCTGATATGGTTCAGTGAAAAGAGATAGCCAGCGAAGAGGATGTGGATTTACTGCATTTGCCAACAATAAAATCATCCACAGTGCATCTGGAGCCTGCAGCAGGGCTACATCAAGTATGTGAATGGAAAATGAAGCCATCACAAAAGCACCTGAATGGAAGACCCAAAA